CTCAGGAAATTTGCGGAGGCTATACGATTACAGTTATTGTAACATGCACAGCACTTCATTTTTTTTTACTCCTTCACTACTGCAAGAGGTGTAGCCAAATACCCCAATGTGTCTATTCATCTATGTTGTCAAGAGCTGGCACTTTCTTTCAGCACATTATAGCGTATTTTACATTGAACTCATATCTATATCCATGTAAGGACCGGATCACACAATTACTGATGCCACCTGACTATTCACAACGCTGCTGAATGGCAGTGAAAGTGAAAAACTCGAATCCGAAACCCCAAACGATGACTATGAAAAGAACAATGAAGTAGTTGGAGCTAATGGCTTAATGGCAAATCTAGTTAAACATGGGGGTGAAGTGCTGACAAGATGCATGCTTGATTGAATTGTAATTGTACTCTACAAAATCCATAAAAAAGGGACACCATATATCGTATTAAAGGTCTTATCTGGACTGAACTGCACTTTATCAGTATGGTTTTAGATCTGGTAAATCGACCACACCACCTTTTCATCGATTTTAAACCTATCTTCGACAGCACAGTAAGGAGCTGACAACACTCTGATGTGTTAGCGGGAATACTAATATACCTTATGAAGATTTTTTCAATCAACAATAAGATCTGCAGAGCTAAATTGGCAAAACAAGTGACATTGATATCATAGACCTTAATAACAGTTAACCGTTAGTTCTGTTTTTTTCCAGACTTGATAAAGAAACAGAACGAATGGATCTGGTACTGAAGGTGACAAGGCGAAATATGCCAACACGTGCTGCTGAGTGGGCAATAGAAAAGTAAAGTGCACTCTCGACGAACCCAAACCAGTGGATTCAAGCATTTATGCCTTGAAAGTATTAAATGAAGTACCCGCTGGTGAAAGCAGAGGAAGAAATAGACCGTCCTTCCGTTGGAGGCATCAATGGAGATCGACCTGGTTTCCTTTGGTATATTTCCAACTGGCCCAAAAGGAAGAAGAAAGGGACGAATAACAAAAAAGTATTAATTTTCAAGATTATTTGTTTAATATTTTTTTTGAATTTGTTCCTAACCTTACACTTCACGCAGTTCAATTTCATAAGCATATTTTACGATGTGTTACTCAATTTGCTTCATTTGTAATTTTATGAGCCTCACTTGTGCCAACGTTACTAGCTCTAGTATTGGTAGACATTACTCAGTGCCATCTAATGGAAGGCAAACTTCATTTGTGCTGTAATGATAATTTATAGCGCGAAATATCCTGCGCGCAATAGCTTCCACTACCTGCGCCACCGCATATGTTCTACCTCTGCCCATACCAGTAACTCTCTCCATATTCCAATTAAACAGAAATAATAAGCCAATAGACCGCTTCGGAAGGCGCGTTATAGCTAATGAGACGAACTTTTTTTTACTAGCAGGAGCTTTAAGGATTTCTCCACTCTCAACTCACTCTTCACACATAACGAAAATGTCCTTATGCTTTCAAATTACTGCTGCTTGCAGCTTGGATGCTTTTGAAAACAAACTTTAGATGATTATTGCCACCATCAGCGTCGTTGGCAAAATAAACGCAACCAAACGAACGAAAGATTGTCAACTTCGTCGCTTCACTACACTTCACTTCACTTCGGTGCGCCAATGCAACGCTCCCGCTCTGCGTACATCCAATATAAATCCCACCCATTACAGGGTTTGCTGTGTGTTTTGGCGGTGCGGATTTTTGGTAAACAACGAAAATCTGATTTATACGCGACAGCAATAAAACTGACTGAGTAGCGGGATGATAGGAAGAGACAGGCAGGCAGGCAGGCAGGCAGGCAAGTGATAGCATGGGATGTTGATAAGCAAATGCAATACGCTTCGCAATGATAACAATAACAACAACAACAGTTCTTTTCAATGTTCATGAGTATCCTGTGCACAGCAGAAGTCATTGCTGAGTAATGTTGGCGTGAGCTTTTTCCTCATATCGGGATAAAAGTCTGAAGTGCCAAAGGTGGTTGGCGAGCGGTGAGTTTGTGGGTGAGATACCCTCCCAACCTCCCTCTTCCTCTCTTTCCTTGTTTCTGTTAGACTTTGCTAGTGGTGAAGGCGTTGAGAGGAGACTGGCAGTTTTGGTCTCAGATATGTATGTCCTTCACTCTTATTGCAATAATGAAATGCGTTGGCGCATCTGCAGCTGCTCGCAATGTAAAATGTTGCAGGCACATAATTTTGCAACAATATTTGCACTAAGATCACTCTTTGCACTCTTTGCTTTGTTCAGCTCTGCTTTCGGCTCTGCTCAGTTATGCTGTATTATGGCATCTGTTTTGCAATTCTTGTTGCTTTTGTCGTCTTTAATTTTGTTGTTTGCATTGTTTGTTATGCAATAGTGTTAGTTTGTTGGTTAGTTGTCTGGTTGGATGTTGTTGTAATAATCATTCTTAGTTGACTTCTGCGGAATGGCGGTGGAAAAGTTTTGTTAAACTTAAAGGTTACACAGTAAGGCAAGATTATATTTTTTAGATGCCTTAGAATAGGTTTGTGGTGGGATAGAAGCAACCATTAAATCCCTCGAAAAAGAATTCCACAACCCTCCGTAACTGTAGATTTTGCCCAAAAACCTGTGAAGTCTCTAAGACGTGGTTATTAGCTTAAAATTCAATATTTGGAGGGAAACTCTCTTTGGAAAACTCTTCCACTTCTAAGTGTTTGTTAGAAGAATAAAAAAAAAATCACTGTAAACTCCTAGCTATTGGAAGCTGTCCGAAAAAATAATTCCGTAGGTTAGAGTAAATTAAACAGTCTCTGCAGACACTAAATTAATTTCTACCCTTATAGAGCCTGCACGGATTAGCGCAAACGCAGAAATGTTAAAACATTATAATTGCTATCTTTTTGGCCAAATCTGCGACAGCGCTCAATTTGCAATCTAAAAAATATCAAAATCAAGATTGAATAAACTTAAATCAGCCGTAAAGTGTAACGAGTTGGTGAACTACTTTCAATTGCAGCGAACAGAAAGCACGAGAAGCCTATTACGGGGCTAAAATGCTCCGGTTTGTGATCTCTCTTGTCAGTCAAGCTGAGCAAAGAAACCACTTTCAGTATTAAGAGGTTCTTTATTACTATGCTGTATGGATCATTTCTAAAAGTCTCCCAGGAATGCAGTTCATAGAACTTGATAGGGAGTATGAACTGTACGCAGAGCTCCATATGGAATTCTTGTCTTATTCGTCTTAACTGATCTATGCTCCACCTACACGATAATAGTTCAATCAACAATAGCGTGTCAAAAAGTTATTTCCGCCGTTCAGCGCGATATTAAAAAATTCGTGTCGAAGAGACATTTCAGAAGGCCAGTGATAAGAGATTATCTTGTTTTCCGGGTGGTCTAAGGCCCTATTATTGGGCTGAAGTTCTGGTTTGGTTTACGTTCTGCTCAGTCCGATCTTCATCGCAGAAACGCGGTTATTTCGGCGTCATCTAAAACAAGGTTTAGGAAAAAAACTGTTGGCATGCAGTTTGGTGTGAAAGTAGTGTAAGATGTGTAGGATGAGTAGTAACCGACTTCGTTTCTTCCATTGCGATCGCCTAAGCTCCCAGGATTTCATATACAGAGTAATAGATTTTTTGTGCATTACTGCTTCAAGCAGCTAGTATCGATAGTAGTCCTTATACTGGTTATTTTTAATTTCCTCTTATTTGCTCGTAATAGTTACTTTCTCTTTCTTTTCGCCATTAGGTGTCAATTAAAGACTAAGTGAATCCAGGCTATTCTCTATTTGATCTTCTCTCTTCCTCTGTTTCCATCGGCGGATACTGTATCCAATAATATTTTCGAAGCCTCATGTCGTCGTCGTGCCATCGTCTACGGTGCTGATATATGTATAAGGTCTAAAAATCGTTCTCAAATGACGGTCATTAACTTTTAAAGTTTGGTCTGGGTTTAAGTTTTGTGGGGATAGAAAATTCACACTTAGCGACGCTTTAAAATTGCCAAAAAAGTGGTGTGTGCCGATATTATTCACACTGGGTTTTTTGAAAAATTTGATGTATTTTGAATATTTGGTCAATAATGGATTTCTTGTCTACCACACCCTTTACATGTCGGGGTCCATTGCAACTTTTTAAGGTGGGCAGTCTTTTTCCGCTTTAGTACCCTTCCACATTCCACAAAAAATTGTCAATTTTCCTTAAAATTTTTTGTTGAAAAGAGAAAAATTAAATTGAAATCGTCATGAAGAGAAAATTTAAAAACTTTGAGCATTTAAAAAGTCAGCTCTTTAACACGACTCTCACTCCATTTTCTCTTTGACTACGCACAATTAAACCGTGGGGTGTACGAAGGAGCTAATTGAAGAGCACAAGTATTTGCCTCAAACATCATTAGAGAATTCTACATTAAACATTCGATTACAGCGAATTTCCGTCAGAGATTGTAAAAGGATGATAAAAAGATAAATAAAACGGCGAGGGTATGAGTGGGAGAAGAGCGCGATAGAGAGCGAGATAGAGAGCGCGAGTAAAGCACAGACTTGTTGGCAGGCTCAGGTCGCCTACGCTGATTCTTAAGATTACAATTTCCGCTTGCAATATGCGCGCCAATATTTAAGCAGAAATTAAAAGAAAAATGTAAAAAAATGAAAAAAAAACTTGTAAAAATAAGGAGTGAAGAGAGCAAAGACTTCAATACACTGATAAAGTTAACAAAGGGTAAATACCGGTGCATGAATAATAAAAACGTGTGCAAATTTGCGCACCAAATCACACACATACAAAAAGGAAAAACGGAGGCAGAAAATGTGCGCCAAGCACCAGCTTTCAAGCTCCTAACAGCAAGAGGCTGAAGCCAACTTGAAGATATTACACAAAGCCAACATCCCTTTGCAGCAGAAATCACTCATTTGACAGGATGAAGGCGTTGGTGCTGGCGGAGACAAGGCAGGCGCATAGCCCCACATACACACACGCGCGAGTACAAAGAAATATATATACATTGAACAACAGGCAGTACGTACTTACCTTCAAACTTTTCGTACGCAGCGAAGCTTAACTTCTCCGGCACATAAGATAAACGGCGACAGCCGCTGATATACTCCGAATGCGCGGTCATGCCTGCGGCACTCGCACTTCCGTTCCCATTGGCGTTAATAGCGTTGGCGGCTGCTGTTGCTGCTGCCTTTTCAGCCGTAAATGTAGCGACTCTTTTGAGCACATTGTTGCTAAGTGTCGTTGTCGGTGTGGCGGGTGTCAAAGGTGTTGCTGCGGCGGCGGCGGCTGTTTCGGTAGCAGTAGTAGGCGTTGATGCAGCAACTTCCGATGCTGTTGCTGTTGTTGTTGGTGTTGCGAAGCTTGCCGCCGCGGTTGGGGTAGACACGCAAGCGGTTTCCCGTTTCGATCGCAACGTTGCTGCTGGGGGTGGCGGTGTTGTTGGTGCTGGCGATTGCTGGAGCTGTAGCTGTTGCTGAGACTGAGACTGAACAGGTGTTTGCGATGATTTAAACGAAATTATAACGGTTGATTGAGTTTCTGTTGAAGGCGGCAACTGTTTGTTGTTCACAGTATTGGCATCTGGCAATGGCGACGGTGAAGGCGATGGCAAAAACCGAGAGGCGTTGTGTGTTGGCATCCGCATATGAAAAGAAACAAGAAAAGGGAAAAACATGTTTCTTTGTTAGCAAAATGAGGCGAACTTATTTTCTTGTAATTCTTTGTGTCCTTTATACGTACATAAATATATTTGCCATGCTTTGGCAGACGGCGATGAGCCGGAAAAAAGGAAATGTTAGGAAAAAGAAGATGGGCAACCGGTAAAAAGTAAAAGAAATGAGTAATGAAACGCAATGAACCTTACCAATAAACACAATAAAAGGATAATAAAATAAATAACCTCGGAAGAAATAACGCCCAAATGCGTTTGGAAAAATCATTTAAATACTGGGTTCACCGTTATGTGGTTAACTAAAACACGAATATTTTGAAAAAACAAAAACAAAACAACACCTCGGAAACCGAGGTGAAATGATCTAACTTCAGAAAGGTTTATAAAATTCAACTCAACTCGTCTCCGCCAGCAGAGTTATGAGTTTAAATATCTACCTCGTTTCCCCAGAAACGCCGTGGGATCGCGAAGACCTACATATATTCCATATGCCTAAAAACAGATGCTGGTAAGATTTTACAGGAAATACAGAAATGATTCTAAGGAAACTGAAGATGTACTTGAATCATTTTTTCTTCAAATATTTGAGGTAGTCTTTGGCTTGGTTAAAAGGTGAGGTTAAGGACTTGTCCCCATTGAGTGGACTTATTGAGCTCCCCTGCTGATCCAAATTATGCTTTACGGAACAGTAGGTTCAATTTAATGAGTTATCTAGGTTTCTTCCATCTCACTCATCTTCATAAAGTTGGACCTCGGAGCACCCTTCCCAACTTGCTGCAGGCCGCGTTCAACACCTTCCGTTCAACACCTTCTGCTGATTCTACCTCATCTATTTTTTCGCTTCAGGAACTTAAGTGATCGGCTAGGTTCGAATGTTTTAAATAAATTTGAAGCCTCTGAAAGGTTAGAAGCAGTTTATGGTGATAGCCTCGCCCGCTGAAGCCGGCTTGTCCGTCTTCTACATTCGTGTGGCGGAGGACCCAAGTGATATTCATTGAGTTTTCCCCTGATAGTCTGTTAATAGCCTCTTTATATGTTCTCACATAGTTAGACTTTGTATTGACACATTTAATTTGGCTGCCTACAATAAATGTGATAGACTCCCATGTTAAAGCAAATGCGCATTAGGCGCCTTCAATAATGCTCACAATCTCTGCTTGGAAGTAAGATTTGTAGTCTTATAGTTTGAAACTACCTTGGTTATTGATGCGGATACATTTGGACCCATCATTATAGATGAAGATGTCTTCAGTATTACCGATGGCCTTGCTTTCGGCCCATTCTTCCCTGTTAGGGGAGGAATAGGTGGCTTGCACTTGTCAGAAAGTCATTTGTATGCTAATAGAGTCGATACCAACGATGAATATCATTGCGGTAGCTCTCATCGCGCCTGATATATCCTAAAACCAGATACGTTGCATCGGTTCTAGAGGTTTAATGCGAAACTTCTTCTTTAGTTTCTACTTAAAACAAAGAAGAAAGACTGATTTCGGTTGTAACCACTGAAGCGATTTTCATCAGGGTGCCTTCTACAATTTGTGGTATGCGTCTCGATTGTTTACCAACAAATGGAAAGACTTACCGTTTATTCTAAGCCACCTACGTACGGATTTTTATGTAGAGCCATTATTTTATGTCAGAAATACACTCGGAGGGCTTCAGATTTTCTGCTAAGGAATGCAAGCGTTCTCAATTAGAAAAATAACTTAATTATTATATTTAAATAAATTTTCTACTATTCTTGGATATTGATTGGACTAGAACTCGAATCCTGGTAGTACGCGGCGGTCATTAAATACTCGTGTGATATTTAAGTAGAAGCCATGTTATACAATTTAAGAGGTAGGTTTATATCTGAATCTATGATAACCATTTTTCATAGGACTTTAATCCCCATATAAAGTAGCATACCTAGTCTGGTCCGACTAATACGCTGAAGTTCAAATGAAAAGAGTTGAGGATTCAGCGATATTCTGAACCAGTCCACAACAACCTTAAATAAATCAGATTACACCCTGCCATGTTTGCAGTTCGATAGTAGTTTTCAGATGTGAATAAAAAATATATTTATTTAGCTAAGAAGGATGCCATCTCAATACATTATACTGGCAGGGCTAAATTGGATTGTGGAGTGAGGACAAGGATCTTGACATCCTCACTATTTGGGCCAGAGGTTAAAATCGTTCGGCTGAGAAAAAAATGAGCAAGGAAGACAAATGATTTTGATTAGTTTAAAGGCAAAAGAAGAATTTTAAGTTAATAAAGCTTTAAATACGAATTATTTGGAAAAAAGTGGTTATCTGGTCCAGACCTAGGAAAAAAGAGTAACATTGCTGATAAGTAAATATACTATTCGTTTTTTTAATAGATAATACTCTGGTCCATTTGCAGAAAAGTAAATTTTCGGAAAAACCTTTGGGGAACATTTTCGGAAATCACAAATAAACATTTATACACATATTTTACATATGGCGCAGACAAATGTCCTCTGAAAAGTTATGCTATTATAAAAAAAAAATATAGTACTGCAGATAACCCTGTATGCAGCATCAATGGCGCCTCACAGCTTTCCTTACATTCGCTGCTGGAAACTTTTGGGTTTTTATCAATTTAATATTTATTATTGCAAATTTTCATATTTTTTATTTAATTTTATAACCAACAACAATTAAGTAGACTTGAAAAAAAACAACGGTTATTCATTGACTCACTTTCACGAGTATGGGGTTTGCGAAAAGTCTTTCGTTTATTTAGACGGAAGCTTAACGGCATGAGTGCTGCCTATAAAGTAACTTGATTTAATTAACAGTAAAAAAATAATAAAGCATACAAAATTATATTGAATTAATATCTCTATACAGTCGTATATATATACTTATGTATATAAATTAGTATTCACCAAGCTTTATGAGTATTTCACTCGCTCATAAATATTTTTTTTCCAAAGGCCAATAAACACGAGTTGGAGGGATAAATTTGCAAAAGAAAAAAAAATACTTATGATAATGGCTTATGAAATAACGTTTAAAAAGTTATATTTGTGAGTGGGGGTATACTATGGGAAAAAGGATAATTAAAACATTTGCCTTTCACCTTTTTTTCACCATTTTCACCTTTTCCTGGGTGGTGTTGAAAGGTTTTATAATGACTGCCCAAAAGGGGTGCGTGCAAAGTTTTTAAAAAAATCCCAGCGTATTTGTTTCATATTTATAGCTGGAGTGTCGGAAACTTTTCAATGGCAATGATATTATATATTTGTCGTAAATTTTGTTATGAAAACAATATTGATTACTTCGTGCCAGGTTTGTCGAGGGTTTCGCAAATCATTTAATGTTATTCTTTATTGCGTATCCCTTTGAATGGGAGGACTCTAGGCTAATGTTTGGAAAAATTCAATAATAAAAGGTTCTTTATTGAAAGTAATAAACTATTTATTATTAATTAATCTAGCATGACGTATAAAATTACAAAGATTTAGTGGACAAACAAAAATATCTTCAAAAATGTCGATAATATAATGGAAATCGTCGAGTCTGAATGCGATGCAAGCCCAGAAGTTAAGCGTTGCGCGATTAAAAATAAGCTGAATACACAAGGAAGTTCGATGTTTTGGTGCTATATGGGTCAATGAGAAAAACCCGAAAAAAAAACCTCATTGACGAAATTCCATCTGCGAATCGCTGCTGAATAGCAATAAAATTGACCCATTTCTGCAGTGGATGTAGATTGGTGATGAAAAGTGGATATTTTACAGCAACGTCAAACGAAAACAGCAGGGAGCCGACACAAACAGTTTTCAACCCGGACGGCCAGGAAAGTTAGGGTTGTATGGTTGGTGTGATTGGCAAGGAATCCTCCAAAGTGCACTGCTCCCCTACGGCCAAACTCTTAATGTGGAAATGCGCTGCCAGCAATTGGATCATGGAAGCTCCAGCTGCAGAACCCAACAGGAACGAAATTCCGTTTCATTAGAATAATACCATACACATCCATAATGACTAGCCAAAAATCTTTGAGAGCTTGATTGGGAGGGTTCTTATGCATCCATTTCATAGTCCAGATATTGCGCCAAGAGATTATCATCTGTTCTCGCCTTTGGCGAATGATTTGGCTGGTCAGGAATCAGCCTCGAGAGAAGCCCGTAAAAATCGAAGGCCACGAATTTTCGCCTATAGGGACAAGGGTTCATTGGAGAGAGGCATAATGATAACAATTTAACTTAATTTTTCATTTAAATTAATTTTCGATAAGTTTTGGATGTCGGTTGGATTTGAACCCGTAGTACTGATCAATCGGCTACCGCGGCCGCTATTATTGTAGCTAAAATTATCTTTATTGGAAATATAATACCGGTTTTGGCGGTCTGGTGCTTCAGGTGGAAAGGTTTGTTTGCCTTGCATCTAACTTATATATAAGCTAAATCAAAAAATAAAAAAATAAAAATTTCCAACAAAGTTAAATTAAATCCCTTTTCTTATTATAAATATTTAACAGCAGAGTTCAAAGAAGCTAAATTGATATGTTATACATAAAATCTGATTTGTTTTAAATATAATATTTATTCAATGAATAAATAAATCAGAAATGTTTTGAATTATTGCGTTCTATATTTTAAATTATTTTAAAAACGTTGTAGATGTTGAGTTCTTTAAAATTAGTTTTTATTATTTTTAAGTATATTATATATGTATAAATTGTTTTTTGGAGCAATTAGAATTTAAAAAACTTAGAAAAGTAAATTGGAAACTCATAATATATTAAACACAGACCAGTGACCGAAAACCTGTAACAGTTTGGACTGCCCTGACCCGAAACCGATCGCGGAAGATCGCGGTTGCACTTGCCTCTTACACTAAACAGCTACAGATTTGCTCATCAGCTGCTATAAAATTGCATGGGCAAGGAAAAGGGAATTTATTTAATTATTCAAAGCATAAGTAAGTAGATTTTGATACAGAAAAGCGAGTCAGAGTCAGAGGAATGGGGAAATGTGTATTAAAATCGTTACACAAAGATCTAAAAGGGTCGTGCATTTTTAAGTTTGTTCTGAACGAGCCCAATGAAAGGGGCTATTGATAGCACTTCTTATTAATTTAGTTAAAAATAAAACTCGAAGCATCTTTCAACGACTATGGAGTGTAGGCAGATTAATCTTGTTCGCATTCCAGTTTAAATTTCTTAACGCGAATAATAGGAATTGCTTTTGTACAGATTCTAATTTATCACTATACAATTGATAGTACGGACTCCATACGACTGAGCCATATTCCAAAATGGGCCTAACAAGCGAGGTAAAGAGTAATTTGGTGCTGTATGGGTCCTTGAATTCCTTTGCTCAACATTTAATGAGAGCTAAAACTCCTTTTGCCTCATAAGCATTTATTTGATTTCTAAAACCTAGCTTAGCGTCCATTGTGACACCTAAATCAATGAAGTCAGTAACTTGTTCAACACTGTGATTATGTATCATATAGGCAAAGGATTGGAAAGATTTTCTGGAGAGACACATATATTTGCATTTATTTAAATTTAGGGACATACAGTTCGCACCGCACCACCTAACTAAATTATTTAGGTCCAGTTGCAAAAGCTTTCTGTCTTCAATAGAATAAACTGATTTAAAGAGCTTGACGTCATCTGCGAACATGAGTTATTTAGAATGAAGAACAACATTTGGAAGGTCATTGATGAATATCAGGAAGAGTAAGGGACCGAGGTGACTGCCTTAAAGGACATAAGATGTTACTGCTATATCACGTGAGGTAGAATTTTTAAAAATTACTCTTTATTTTCTAGCACCTTGCCAAATGCTTTGCTGAAGTCAGTGTAGATAACATTTGTTTGATTACCATTTTTGAAATCATTACTGACATGAGTGGTGAATTCTAGCAGGTTCGATAGGGTAGATTTTCCTTTGCAAAACTCATGTTGTGAGATGTCTATAATTGATGACACTGAATGGGCTAGTTGTTCAGTTATAATAGCTTCAAAAATTATAAAGAATAATAGAAACAAAAATATTTCAATCATTTCTGTATATTTTATAAATATAAGTATATATGCTCTTTTTTAATAGAAATGGTTTAAACTCATTTTACTCTTGCTAATCTCAGTGTGAACTTATTTCACTTAATATTATATTGAAGCGCCTGAATGCAGGCAACGTTTATTAATAGACATTTCGGTCTAGATGTTTATGCATCCATACAACGGGCAGACACAAAATCTAAAAATTGTCTTATTTAATTTTTTGTAAGAAAAAAAAAAAGCAAAAGCCTTTGAAATTTTTTTAAATTTACTAGAAATTCTTAAAATCAGAACAACTTGTGTTCCTACTATTTTTGAGCACAAACATCTTGCTAAATAGACGTGAATGTATGGGAATAAATACATATCTACATATCCATATACATATATATTGTATTTGCAGAAATATCTTGTTTTTCTTAACTTCTCTTTTATTTAAGACCACAGTCATTTATTAACTTCGCAATATATGTATATACATATGTATGTATTTAATATCCATATAAGCGAGCGCACACAAATCTACAGCTCTTTTGGCAATAGAGTTGTATATGATCTTGGATTTGTTGGTCAAATGGGTATTTAAATAATTCCCAACTTGTGCAGGACATGTCTGCAGGATGCATGTGCGGCAAACAAACAGAGGCTTATTTATACACACACATACACATGCACGTACTTACGTTAAATACAATGGAAGAAATGAACTTCGAGCACAGCTGATGCCGCTGAGTAAACACAATGCATTATATAGTATGAATACAAATATATGCATATACATGTATGTATGTATGTATGTATGTGCATTGTAATTGTAACCAAATTGTTGCTACGTGTATGTTCCTCACTTTTTCTGCTTTTGTACTGTTGTTGTATCTTACTTTTGGGTAATGTGTGTCTGCCTGAAATGAATGAAAAACAGCCACCGAGGTCACATTCTCACGTCCACTATGAATGGTTTGCCGTAATGAATATGTATGCAAGCAGTTCGTATGCGAATGCCGCCGTTTGAAGAAGGGAGAGAGTGAGAGGAGGGTAAAGTAAATGCTTTTGCCACATTTGTTTTGACTGGGTTAATGGGTAAATAAATAGTAGCGGCATGCGCCTAAAAGCCGGTCATACCAACAGATACAATTTCATACAAACATATACATATATATTTATATATATATAATAAATATATATATACATATATATATATATATATATACATATATGAGCACCATGAATGCACATTGTAATGGCACGTTGATAGGCCAGCAATGTTTATTTATTATTTTTACGCAAATGGAACGCTTAATGGATTGTAAACATGAAGCGCACTGTTGATAAAATTAAAGAGTGAGATTTTTATTAAATAAAGTTCAATAGTCCCTTCCAATAGACGCTTTGCTGACTTATAAATATTTTCTCGAACTTGATAGTGATCGGAAGTGGGTAAGTACATGTGAGGAACACTTCTCCAACCAGCTGAATGTTAGTGTAACTGAAACACCCGAAGGCGGCGAGCACGATTACTAAATCGTTGTTTATGATGAAGTTTTCCCGCTTTAAGGACAACAAAGTTACGTTAACAGATCGGTAGAGATATTCAAATATGGTGGTAAAGAACGGCCGAAATGCGTGTGTTCAACAGCTTCTTTATTGAATACGATGACAAGAAACTACGCCAGTCCATTAAAAAATGCGTTGTGTATGGTCTGGCCAATACCTTAAAAATTAACCCCACAGTCTGAGCGAGTTATCGTAGGATAAGTCTTATCAAAATAGTTCTACTGCATAAAAGATCGGAACTAATCGGTGTGGTCTTAGATCTAGTAAATCTACCATAGACCATGAGAGTAGTTGCTCTGCGTGAACTTACCCTGGGTAACATCAAAAAGTCTGTCAGAATTGAAAGGGACTTTTCCGTGCCGTTCGATGCTTAATGGGTTTCAGACAGGGGGTTGGCCTTTTATCGTGTGATTTCTTAGATCTACCTGCAAAACTGATTTATAAAAGCGTACAACTGATTACCACTGTTCACATAGATAATTTCAGAATCACTCTTGCTTGCCAACAATATCCCTTTGGACAGAGTAGTCGACTGAAAAGTGAAGTCTTCTCTTGATGAAGAAAGATCAAACTCTATAAGTCGGACATCACTGCCGCTATGAGACGAAGGTATGGCGGACTAGTGGTTAGCATTGCGTACTGACATTCGGAATTCTTGGGTTTAAATGCCGGTGCCACCAACATCGGAAAAGTTATGGAAAATTAATTTAAAATATAAAATGAAGTTAATTTTTCTAATTGCGGTCGCCCCTCGGCAGGGAATGTCCACCTCTCCGAGTGTATTTCGGACATGAAATAATGCTCCTTTCAAAAAAAAAAAATACACATCAGACGTTCGAAGTCGGCTTAGTATAAATTGTAGGTCCCTCCATTTGTTGGAAAAACAGCAAGACGCAAAAACCAGAAATTGTAGTTACGAGGAAGAGTCTTCAGGAACCTAAATTGTCTTGACAAAATATTACCACTAAGTTTTCTGAAGTCGTTTCCGGCATTCTGGCTTTCAAGTGCTTTTGGAAACCGTCCAAAAGTCTTACGAGTAGATAACTAAGATTGAGTTACAGGAGATTAGTTCTATGTGTACGGCGTCAACTATGATCCGATCTAAGAGCTTGGACGTGCGATATTACTCAAAAAGGAAGAACTTTATTAGTTATGATCAAAGTAGATTGCGTTTGTTGTGGTGGTGATGGTGAATAACATAATCCGAGGTCTTTTTGTAGAGATTAAGTTTCGAAAGTGTATTATAGAAAATGTTTATCCCGTTAGCGAGGCTAAGCAAATAGAGTTCGATTTGCCTTGGCCCTAACGAGACGAGCTCGGCCGAAAGGAAATGACAGTAATGATATATTCTTTAGACGAATCAGATATTATTATTATATCCACTACATCTCTTGACCAGCGCTTTTTTAAGTGAATTATTTAGGCAGTTTAACGAAATCGATCTTCTCATGGGAAAGAAATAGCTTTAGGAGAGGTGATCGCAAAACGCTGTCGGTCGGTTAAAGCTTATGTTTCGTTTAATTATTTGGCAACGCCTTAATTGAGCTACTCTATATAGTCGGCTGAAGATGCGAGACAGAGAGCGAGTCTTAGATACTTGGAGAAGAACATTTTGACATAGTTTTTCTTAAGAAAAAATTAGATGCTCTTAAAAGGAAACTGCTTGGGGTTAGTCCATTTGATTGTTTTCGGTAATCAACTTACTCTTAGGAGCGAGCAGATATTGCCATCGGGTTCGCCGAGCTGAAGTTCGAGGAAATAAGCTCTTTCAGAGAGGTAGGAATTTGGAAGGATATTTATATAAGGGTTTAAACAGATAGGTATGACTTCGACCTACTCCAGTTCTTATTTATAAAATATTTTGAGATCTTTGTCAGTAAAAATACACAAAGTGCCATCTAGTGACCGGTGTAAAGACAACATTGCCAAGAGGCAGTTTTAAATGAGATTTAAGAGGCCTCCTAATTTGTGAGATTCTTGTTTTCCAGCTCATCATTTATTTTTTTCTGTTACGCACATACTATGAAAAGCTTTTAATGCAATATTAGTATTATCATTCACTTACCTGTGCTCTCCTCCTTAGCTGCCGCTGGTGGTGGTGGTGTCGCCGCTGTACCCAGCATCGACGACAGATTTTGCAGCTCAATCTTCTTAGTCTTCGCTATGTTACTGAAGATGTCCGCGCCACTGCCCGGCGACGCAACAACTGCGCCACCATCTTGTGGCGTTACGGTCGCCGCACTGCCACTGCTACCGCTACTACTCAGCACCTGTGCCAATTTCTTACCCAACTGCAAAGCCATTTGTTCATCAGGACTATCCGACTCGAGTTCCGGACTCGTATCAGGCACCAACTCCAAGTATGTTGTTTGTGAGACGGACAAATGTGCTACCTTATCGGCACGATGTCGACGTTGTAGTTCGTGCACAGCACGTGCTGTTGTCGGTGATAAAATACCCGAAGTATCGGCTGATGTTATGCTGATCTCGCTAATCGGTCGGTCTTTGATAAGTGTTGGTAGATCGTTGAGACCGCGTGCTGCCAAACGGTTGTGTGTGCGATTGTGTGTATATTTGTCCAATTCATTTGCGTTGGCTGATAAATGCTGTTGCTGTTGTTGCTCGCCAATGCTACGCGGTGATATGGGGTCTGTAAAGAGTGAATCAGAACTTGTTGACAATTCCTTAAGTAGAACAATATCGTAGTTTTGTTGTTGTTGTTGTTGTTGTTGTTGTTGTGGTTGTTGTTGCCCTGTAATATGGCGACCAGTGGAGACAAGCATATTGTTGAACTCATCATAAACTTCCCCTTCATCAAGTGCTTCTGCGGATGTGCGAAAAGCGATTTCGTGTTCAAAATTAGGTGCCGCAGCAGCGAAAGATTACCGTAAGTGTGGAAGAATAATCAAATGTTAGAGAGAAATATTTTTATTTTTTATTTTTTCAACTTTCTAAAAAGCCTGAGATGTTGATGTAACGAAGGGCGGGATGTGGATGCGCAGCGAGTTGAAGGATTTTTCTTTGTTCTTTTTTTTTTAATTTTCGGGTGGAACGGGATGGTTTGTTAGTTTTGTGGTGAATTAAAAAATAAAATTAAAAATTAAAAATTTTACTAAAATTTCTAGAGTTTGCTAAATAACATCTAACACTATTAAAATTTTGACTAAACGGCTGAAAGCTGGTAGAGTGAGTAAATGTCAGCGTATTCAACTTTTAAGAGTTAAAATTTTTCCTTGAGTTATTACTACTTTCTGAGCCCTTCTTAGAAGGTAAATAGTCTTATTGTCATACATATATATTTTTATAGTAAAAGTTCAGAAAATGAGTCTGCAAGCACGCCCAGTGTAGAATCGGACCCATTAATAAAAGGGAAAATGTATTCATTTTTTATTTTCTTCTGTGATCTCTGCCCTTCTTTTTCTTCGTTATAAGCACATTCTAAAGAGAGCATAAAATGGTTTAACCTTTCTTCATGGAAAAGAAATTTTTAGATAACGACGAAAATAGTCATACAAATGGTTATATTAGGCAAAGTAAAAAGTTCGAACGGTTTTTATTTAATAGATAGCGTTATTGTCCTAGCACCAGTGTTACGTGTCGCATCAAATCAAACTGAAAACGGCGCTGTAAAAGTGTTTATTCGCGCTAAAAGTTTGTCTTTGACAGTTTTTCGATTGATTGACTCAGTACTTTGTGATCACTCGTCGAAGATGGACACCAGCAAAGAGAAAATTCGCTATATTTTACAATTTTTCTTCGATCAAGGCGAAAAAGCAGCCAAAGCGGCTGAAAAAATTAATTTAATTTATAAGCCAGATACTGGAAACGAGCGTGTAGCACAAAGTGGTTTGCTAGGTTCCGTTCCGGTAATTTCGATGTCAAAGATGCACCAGGTTTTGCTGTGTGTTTGGTGGGATTGGCAAGGAATCATCTACTGCGAGCTGCTCCACTATGGCCAAACAAATAGAGCGCTTGAAGGCAGCACTCATCCAGAAGAAGCCATCTTTGATCAATAGAGGCCGAATTGGGTTCCATCAGGATAACGTCAGGCCACACACGTTTTTGGTGACGCGCCAGAAGCTCCAGGAGCTCGAATGGGAGCTCCTAATTCAGCCAGCTTATAGTTTGGACCTGGCACCAAGTGATTACCATCTTTTCCTGTCCATGGGGAACGCGCTTAATGGTAAGAAGTCGGCCTCAAGAGAGGCCTGTGAAAATAAGCTCTCCGAGTTTTTTGCCAATAGGGACGCAGTCTTCTACGAGAGGGGTATAATGAAGTTGGCATCTAGTTGGCAACAAGTTTACAATGGAAACGGCACATATTTGACTTAAATCGGACAAATGTACACAAAGTTATCAAATTTTGAAAAATCAATAAAAAAAAACGAACGAACCTTTTACTTTACCTCATATAAAGGTAAGCTGATTTTGCTTTGCTTTTGTCATAAGAGATATAGGGCTGCATAAAATTATACATATCTATTCCGTATATTGACCTTTTTTTCCGTATGGAGAGCGTCGCTAAAACTAGCGACGGTTTTACCAGTCTTTAAGTGAGCCTGATACCCTTAAAGATGTGCGTATTTACCTCCCTTACCTCTCGAAGAGCCGTACGAAAAATTATTGAGGTGCATTAAGCTATAATATGAGGCCATGTCTGTCTTCGAGAATTGGCAACTCATACCGAACGAGAAGCATAACAGAGTAAGCTGACCAATTCGTGATAAAATATGCGGGCAGTGCATAGATAATCCAATGACAAGCAAAGACAGCTTCAGTATTTCTCCTCTATCAGCTACCTATAGGCTTCTTCTGGATTTCAAAAGTTGAAAAGTTGTCGCAGGTTCTGCTATAAAACATATGGAGTGCGATTGTTGGTTGCAAAACCAATTTGAACACGGCAATATTTTAAAACAGCTTACTACATTCCATAAGCCAAACTATATTATCTCAAGGTTAGATTTCAATAGTTGCTTTGAGCAGAGAAAACCCGCTAGACGGGAGAGGAAGAACAGTTTTGTAGAAAGGACGATATCGTTTCAGTTTATACTGACGAAACAGAAATGGAGTCGGGCATATATCTTAAGCTTCATATCTCTTTGAGCCTACCTAGCGTAAAAATTAGGTAGCGAAAAGATCTGCAAAGCTAATTAGAGCTATCTAAAGGAGGAGCTACAAGGTAAACATGTAAACATATGGTCGGATAGACAGATGTCATTGTTGTTATTGCTGCCTCTATTGATGCCATAAATGTTTTCAAGTGCCTGTAATAATTGCAGGAAAGCTCTAAGTCCGCTGACAGGCCGATTCATCGTTCCCATAAGAATATTTTCAGTAAGAAAATTGCTGACAAGTTAGCCAAGTCGGGACCAACTTTTGACGAATCTGAAGCAGAGTTAATATCCTCTCCGATTGGGACGATCAGAACAGAACTTCACCCGCAATTGGAACAAATATGACTCAAATATGACATGATCACAAAAAAAGCTTTGTTAACGATGAAACGATTTTCATCCGAGTTTCTGCCTTAATTTGGGTGGTCGTTGATGATTTTTCATTTCCGAATGGCCAATAGATTTTTAAGAGGAGTTTTTTTTTATTTCATGTTAGAAATACAATTGAAGAGCTTAATATTCTCTGCTGAGGGGTAACTGCAGTTAGAAAAATTATTTTTATTTATTTTTATAATTAATGGATATTGGTCGAACTTGGACTAGAACCATGTCCTTCCGAGTGGGAGTACCTAACGCCAATCGCTCGACTCTTTCCGACCGCCAAATATGTATATATAGACTTATACCACAGTAATGGGTCACTGACCCTTCGGAAGACATGCATCAACATCTAATAGCCCTTGGCCCAGCAGCGAGCTTGGTTGGAATAAAAACGCTCTAATCCACTGTTGGATTATAAGCAGTTTCATTGAGAACACTAAATGGTTATAACGACGAATGAAACGTGATAGCAGAAAATGGTTTTGGTTTTTCTCGGAACGTAGATAATCGAAACTTTTGGCTTCAAACAGTTCGGCTTGGCAGACTCAGTGGCCACTAATACCTCCTTTTAAATGAAGACTTAGATGTTAAGTGGAATACTCGATAGGAGGATGAGATAAGCACTTTGTTAATAAAAATGTCTTAAATATTCTCTTCTGAATTTAAGGTTCTTTGACTGCGTTAGAGTAATTCCGCAGGCAGTAGATGACATTAGATCCATTTACTCGAAGCGTGTTTTAAACGAATTTCGGTATTTACGCAGATGGCGTTCTGGAAAATCAAGTTAAATTCTTGACCTTTCTCTCATTAATATCGAGGTATTTTCGAATTAAACTATATATATATATATATATGTATCTAATTGGCGTCCTGTAAACGCTGAAGCGATTACGCGGCAACTTATAATATCGAAATAACAGGAAAATACTAGATATTAATGTGTTAAAGAGGAACTTGTGCCCTTTCGACTTATTTTGAACATGTGGGACTCACTTTAGCTCAGTTTGTGGCCAGTATTTAATTTTTATTGTTGCGAAACTCTTCATTCCTACACCAGATAGACTTCTGTGCGTCAGTGAGCGCCCTGAGTGGTTGCTCAATCGAAATCATGCGAGAGGGCTTAGATTCCTATGTGAAAAACTTCTAGAACACATTGGTAAACCGAAACTCAGCGAAGGGTTTTTCATTCAGACAATTTATATGTATGCACATATGTGTGTATCTCCTCAGCTTCAGTTACCACTTTCGGCTATAGAATGATGCGAGTAATTTATTTATAGGCATTACAGCTTTTTACGTACTGGTACACAAGTACTTGTCGTTGGGCATGAAGGCCGACCTACCAAAATAAAAAAAATAAAAAAAACGGTACAAATATTTCAAATACTTGCACGTCTACAATCAATCTTACTATGTACCACCATATGTTTGGAATAAACAATTAAAGTCAAAGATTTATGACATCGAGCTTTTAATTTGTAGTCAATTTATGAAAACCATTATTTATAGATGTGTTCTTATACGCTGTTATACTCGTATGTACATACACGTATATATGTATGTATACACTGTGGTTCATATTGTTATATTTTACTTCAAAGTTGAGAAAAAACGTAGTGTAACCCACACATCACAAATAGAGACTTTCAGCTGCGGACGTGCGGTGACAGCGGCAGCGTAAACAAAAGTCAGCAGCCAAAAGACAATGGGGAAGAAAGAATACAAAAAAAACTCGTTTCCAGCGCTCGAAGAGAGCGTTGAGTACATTTACATATGTGGAAAATAAAAGCAAAAAAACATATATTCCAATGGAAATAGGGTACGAGCTGAGAGCAAAAAGGGCTAGCGAAGAGTCATCGAAAAAAATCGACGGAAGAAATATCATTATTTTGACCGGCTTGAAATTTTTGAGAAGGGAAAGTAGGGTGCTATTGCTATTATTTTTATGTTTCTTCTTTTAACAATAAAAGAAAGTTGTAGTAAGCGTGTAGTAAGCTTCTTAAAGAATAAATCAGAAAAATATGAGACGTTAAAAAATGACCGGAAACGTGCTAAGGTCGTCAGCAGACAGGCTAAGGTCGCGTGTGTGACTGCAGCATGGCAATCGTAATATTTTTATTTACACTCATTTGTACATATGAAAAAATACATATATATATATCTCTTCAATTTCCATGCGAAGAATACCGTAAAAAATAAGCTTATGACGATTTTATTTGTACTCGTCTGCTAGGGTTAGGGACGCGCTCAAGCGCTAAACATACACGTTCCAGTTCAAAATATGCATTTATACATACGAGTACATAGATATGTACTTATGTTTATATGTACATATGTATATTAACTATGTTGGTAGACTATTAGTGGTTACTCGCTTGGAACTGGAATTCGTACAGCAGAGTCGGTGAACTGCGGAGGAGGTTGCGTGCAACATGACATGGCTGTAAAATGACCAAAACGAAATAAGTGGCAGCTAAATATTTTGACGTGTTTATAGTTATGTAGGTACATAGAGAGCAAGAACATATGAAAATATATGTATGTACATATGTATGAATGGTAATGCCACGGAAATTTGGAGGCAGGGAGTATAGCACTAAATAGTCACTGAATGAAATTTGCTTCACTTTTTTATATCATTTAAATGTCGTATAATTTTATATTACTCATTATTTCAATAAATTTATTTTATTTCGTTTTATTTTAGTTTCCAATATTTTCTTTTAAGTTACTTACTATTAGTCACCTTATTTCCGTTCATACGACTTTATTTTATTTTTTTGTATCTCATTTAATTTAAATCACATTTATTTAACTTTAATTTTAATTAAATTTAATTAAATTAATTTAAATTTTTTTTCATTTTATATATTTCATTTAATTTAATTTATTTTATTTTAAATTAAAATAATTTATTATAATTTCATTTCTTTTAACTGATTTTTTAATTTTTCATTTTAATATATTCAAATGTAATAATTCTAATTCTATATTTTACTTTAATTTACTTTATTTAACCTTATATTTATTCTTGTCCATTTTTCTTTATTAAATTCTATTTTATTTTATTTTGTAAAACATTATTTTACTTTGTTTTAATTTACCTTATCTAATTTATTTAATTTAATTTAATTTTTTTTCTTTTTTTATTTTACTTTATTTTCTTTTATTAATTTCTATTTTAATTTGTTTTATATTTTATTTTATTTTTTAATTTACTTTGTTTCTTATTTTATTTTTATCCTATTTTATTTTAATTTATTTTATTTTTCTTATTTGGCTTAATTTTATTTAATTTGATTTAGTTTCTTTACGTTGTTTTATTTTACTTCTTTTATTTCAATTTTATTTGTTTTGCCTTATTTTATTTAATTTAATTCTAATTTATTTCATATTGTATTATTATTTTGCTTTAAAAAATAAATTATTTTTTTGTTTATTTTACTTTATTTGTTGTTTTATTTAAGCTTTTTTGTTTAAAATTTACTTTATTTTATTTTCTTCATTTTATTGTATTTTATATTGTTTTATTTTATTTTGCTTTATTTCATTTTATTTATGATATTTTCTTACATGTTATTTTGTTTTGTTTTTTTTTCCTATAATTTTAATTTAGATTATTTATTTATTTATTTTTTTATATCGCATTTTTCTATGCTAGCTTATTTCATTTATTCTTATTTTTTGCTTTGATTTATTAGTTTTCTTTTTATCTAGTTTCTCTTGTTCTATTTCATCATTGCTTTAGTTAAGTTAATTTTATATGATGATTTAATTTCTTATTTTATTTTCCTTTTTTTAATTTTTTAGGCTTATTTTATTTTAAATTACTGTATTTTAATAAATTATATTAATTAATTTTTTGTTGTTGTTTTGTATAATTTTTTTGCCTTTAATAAATATTAGTTTTATTAATTTTATTTATTTTTAATTTTTTTTTCTCTATGGAACTAATGAGATGTTCATCTACATAGATGAGTATGTATTTAAATATATACTAGTTATGTGTTTTCACTACTTTTATGACTTTACTAAACACCGAAATTATGCATTCTGCTTATATGTATGTATTGTACTTTTCATGCACTTTTATATCTCTGATTCACTACCATGATTTTAACCTTTTATTTCCTTTTGCCCACCTGTGGCTTCTTTGCGTGCCCTTGCACGTTCAGCTCCCACCGGCTTATTGTATTCACTTTCTTCTTCTTCTTCTCCTTCGGTTACCTTTTGTTCTTTTGTTTGCTCTCGATATTGAACTTCAACACGTTTTATGGCATTCGCCGTTTTCCACGATTCCGTTTGTACGACAAACTTACGAACGCACACTTTTTTCACATTCTCTGCGCTTTTTGAATTGAATTCAACAGATTTTCCACTGTCAACGCATTGATCCACTGGTTCATTAATTTCACCTTTTCCCTTCTCCCTATGATTTGTGTACCTTTGTGGCTTTGTTAAACCACAATTACCAGCAGCAATGACATTAATCGATTGCCCTGCGTTGCTGTCACTGTTAATAACACTTCTTGTTGACGTTTTAACCCGTTTTACATTCGTTGATTTCGTTGTCGTTACCGCCGATCCGTCGCCTGTGAATTGTAAAGCATTACTGAAGTCACACTGGAAATGAGTGTGTTGTGTAAATTGTAGATTGGTAATTGGAACTTGAGTTGAAGCTCCAGTTGGAGCTGTGCCCGCATTGTTTTACACACAAGCGTCCAGCGGAAAGAAAGCAAAACAACAGAGCGGCGGTAAAAAAAAAACAAAATAGCAGCGGCTGCAGTAGAAGAGGTGACGCGATAGGTCTTGACTGCTGTGTGGCTTTTGTTGAGCGTTGCCGTCAGTGTTGTTCATTTTTTAGATTTTTTTAGATTTTGCTTTTGGAGAGTTGCGAATAGTGTGGTGTTGTAGTGGGAGGCTCGATATTTAGTTTAACGGGTTTTAAGGTGTGCTACACGTGCTTATATGCATACGTTATACATATATGCTTTCAAATTATAATATTAATGAGTTGCGTGTGGCAGGTGTACTAAGAAAATAAAACACACTTCAAAGCTTTTCGGTAAAAAGGGCTATGAAATTAAAATTCTATAAATTATTAAATACGTTTAGTAAATGGAAAACGCCAGTTTATGCATGTTTGTTCTATATTCATGTAAATGTATATCTGCTCAAGACTTTCATAATTTTTTTATAGTATTCGAATGAATTAAAATGGTATTGTAAAATAGAAACTTCGAAACTTCCAAATTGAAAAGTAATTTAAACTTAATTAACAATTTTTTGTGAGCCCGTGTAATATTTGTTCCAAATTTTTTTTATTAAAAAGTTGTTATAATCAAAAATTCGCTTGTCTCCACAACAATATATTATAGTCGTCGTAATTTATTGATTTCATGGTGGAAACCAATTAAGGAGTTTTATAAGAAAAGGGGGGAAAAATAGTTTTGGAGCTATTTGTGCGAATTTAAATTCCATGCGACAGTGGTTATAAGAGAACGGTGGTTTCCATTGACATTGGGTAGTATAGTTCACAGTGTATGTAACTGTGAAATAAGAAAGAGTGTTTAACGAAGAAGATCTCAGCAAAAATGTTTTCCAGTACATGTACACAGGACTTACATATCCATGTGCACTTCCGGTAAGAAGAAAGTTTTTCACTACTCATTTTCGGCTTCAATTTTTCGATAAATTAAATTTAAAAAAATGAGACCAATACTCAAAAACGGTTTAAATGACCCGCCTGGTAAGCACTTAGTACGGAAATAGATGCTTAAATAGTGAAAGAACTAATCGGAAATCAGTTAAAACTGTATCATACATAAAACGAAAATTAAGTATTTTGTCGTGGTGTTTTTAAGAAGTGGAATAAATACATATGTGAAAAAAACACATATGTACAAAAACCGAAAACAAATATGTTGCTGACTTATTGACTCTACAATAATCACAACATATTTGTGCAACACTGACAACACGCTCTCAGACTGAGCCGCTCTTTTGTGGTTTGCTTTAAATATATGAGTGTAAAGCTGTGCTCATCACGTTTTTAAATGCTCTACCCTCCACAGTTTTTGAATTGTGTTTCTTATATGGCACACACCACAGCAGCGGTGTGTTTATGTACCCTATCAGTTCCCTTCGTTGTTGTCTACACTTGCCGGCATTGGAAGAACTTGGAATGTTGCCAACAACACAGTGAATTGAACTGTTGTGGCTTCCAATTGGTCATCTTCCATGTTTTCGTGTTTGTTTTGCTTGCTTACTTCTATCATTGTTTGCTGTTGGCGTTGTTGTTATTGTTGTATTATCAAACTCGGCTGCGTGATCGCCTGCGTCTTCATCGTCATAATCTAAAGATTCTCGCTCATCATCTGTTGCGTCGATTACCTCGTCGCCTACTGCGGTTCTCATTACTTCGCTGCCGCTATTACTGGTGACCGCTGAGAAGAGATGCTCAATGAATTCACGGTGATCTTCATGTTCTTGCTTTATCGTTTGTTCACCCCTCAGAAGTGCTGCGTCGCTTGTGGTGGGTGCTTTATATTCAAAATTTTCTGTTTGCTTTGTCGTTTCACTTGTTCGTGAAATTGTTTCGGCTTGTTTAGTTGTTATCGCTTGTCGTGAACAGGTTGCACTCTCTTCTGGTACAATTGGCGGCGTTTCTTTTGATTCTGGTGGTTTTGGTGCGGGTCGTTTTTGTTTGGAAGCAGTTGTTGGCATTTTTTTGTTATCTTTCATTACCACTACCTCTTCTGCGTCGCATTCAACTCTTCTGCTGAATAATTTTGAGAACTTTTTCTTTGCCGAATGTGGTTTTTGACTCTTTCCTGTAGGAATTAGCATTTTGATTGAAATGTCCAAAATATTTGTGTTAAAATCGATAAATTGCTTTAATATACACAACATATCTACATAAATATTTCTTACATTTTGTAACGGAACTTTAACTCGGAAATAGGTTGAAAAACTCCAAAAAAAAACACATGCAAGTTGTAAATACGAATTTAGTTAATATAACAGAAATTTATATGTATAGATACAGGCGAAAGAGTATTTTTTACAATGGACGTCGAGAAGACTACTGAGAAAACTAAGAAAATTTCTAGGCATAAATAGTATAAACGTTATAAATATGAATTTATGAAATCTTAACGATTCCTGAAAGTGAGTCCTTATTAATAACTTATTTTGAGCTTCTAAAATATATAAAAATATTGCTTTTGGAGGTACATATGACCCCACATTTGAAGAAATGTTAAGTGCTATCTTCTGTCTGAATCCCAAAGAAACTCACTGATATTGAAAATATTTGAGAATTCTTAATTTAAAGAATCGTTGGTCCATTTTTTCATATAACGAATAAATAAAATAAAATGAAAGAAAAAAAAAATGCAAAAAAAAAAAAAAAAGAAAAAAAAATTAAAAAAAAAAAAAATTTATAATAAAATTAGAAATAAAATAAAATTAATATTGTCATTAAAGTTCAAATTAAAATTAAAATTAAAAATAAAAATAAAACTATTATT